AAGACGGGTATTTTTGACAGGGACTTGTCATGCAGCATTCTTCCAGCCTCGATCTCCTAGTTAGCTTGGACCACAGGTGCACATGACGTTCAACCTGTTTTATATTGTGCTGGGAGCCAAACTAGGTCCTTCCATGTGGACTGCACTACCATGCAGTACCACTCTGCCGCTTCCACCACCACATCTGGGCCTAGATCAAATTATTATGTATTGGGTTGTCAAGAATGATACATTTTTGGATAGAAAAAAAAAAAACCTGAAAAATAACTCATGACTTTTCTAACAACCCTATATTATCAGACTGAATATAGATGGTGGTGCTCTCAGGGCTGTCACTTAGGTCTCTGTCATACGTACTACATTCTCATATATGTTGGGTTTAGAGAACAAAAACTAATTTTTAAATGAACCAGTAGTTACTGAGTATCTGTATCAGTGCTTTGTTTTGGTCTTTGGGTGATGTACAAATAAGACGGTTGTTAAGTTACAAAAACTGAAGAGAGCTGAAGTTTTTAGTTATTTAACTAGCAGAATACTAGAACATGGGGAGCAATTTCATTGATATAAGAAAATGAGATAATCTACATGGAGGAAAACAAAATTTGGGAAGAAGCAGACAAATCTTTTAAACTGCTTGATAGGCGTTCATATATCTTTGTTAGTAAGCCTTTTGGTTAAATGGCACTTTCATGTACATATAATCTTATTTAATTCCTCCCGTAAGGAACATAGTGAGGAATATATAAGATAGGTGTCATACTAAAAAGATAAGATGTGCTCAGAATTTGAAGTTCTCACTCAAGATCATAAACTCACTCAGTGACAAAGCTAGGTTAAACCCCCAGTTCCCATGACTAATAAGTTAGCATTTTTGAAAGGCATAATTTTTTTTTTATGTCAAAATCTGCATTTGCAAATTTTAATATCCTGATTATACAAACGATGAAAGAGTTGGAGCTACTGCTTGGACTGAGGTCCTTAGAGATGATCCCCTATGAAGACAAGACTGAAATAACTAGGTTTCTGATTTGAGGACATCCTATCCATATCATGCAGGTGTTTACAGCATCCTTTGAGGGGTCATCTATTTTGTATTTTCCTTGGTCCATAAATATTTGAGCACTAGAAGGCATGAAGAGGTTGAGAATACTGAATATACTGTTGTATTAAGGAAAAGATAATAGCCGGTGTGGATATTTGCTGTTTTAAAAAATAGGGTTACTTTAATTGTTTGCATTAATTCAGTAGTTAGCAAAAACTTGGAAGCTAGCTTAAAATACCCTATTTTTTCTCACTTCCTCAATCTCCAAGACACAGTTAAGAAATATCACTGGGGTCAATATTTTAACTATGTACACTTTTTTTCCATGAGGAAGATCATTAGGCAGCCAAAGGACTTCTTTGACTGTTAATGCTACACAAGGTCCTATCATACATATTTTTTAAATGTGCACTTAAAAATAGCATCTTAGGTGCTAGAGTAAGCTAAATTGTGTACTTTTATTAAAATTCCGATCCAAGATTATAGGGTAAGATTTAGGAGATACTACTAAACACTATTACTTTGAAGGTTAACAAACTGTTAGGTTGTCAGAAGTGTCATGACTTGTTTTTCTATGCAAAAATGCATCATGACTTTTCCAAGGACCCAATAGAATATTTAGAAATTTTGTGCATGTATTGTCTTTCTAAGATAAAGATGGCTTTTAATTTTGTTTCTGTATTTACATGGAGTGGCTCATCTTGCATTTTTATGATTTTTGTAGCAATATGCTGTTTCAATGTGGGTATAATTTTATCAAAAATGTGATTTGTAAAAAGTCGCTTATTGTGAGTTAGACAGCATCGAGTGGGAAAACAAAACTTACCCTACAGTCCTAGATTGGTACAGAATATCTTTATAAAAATTCATTTTTCACATACATAAAACACTGTTAAAATACATTCTGAACTTAAATTTTTACCATTATGCTTGCTCTAGTGACTTGTTGATAGTTATTGCAGTTAGTTTTTCTCCTGTAGAATGTGCTACTTTATAATGGCTTTTTTTTCCCCCTTATATTTTAGCCAAGAGTTGAATCTAAACCAGAAGTTCAGTCTCAGCCACCTCGTGTGCGTGAACAACGACCTAGAGAACGACCTGGTTTCCCTCCCAGAGGACCAAGACCAGGTGAGTCAGCCACTTCATGGCCTAGAACTTGGAAGGTCCGAGGAGACTGATATTTATTAAACCAACGACTGTAGTGTGTTTTATGTACAGTTTAAAGTATCAAGTTGCTTTAAAGATGTGAGTAGCCTGCTGAGATGTAGTTTGGGTAGCACAACCACCTTGTAGAGGGATTGATTGACATGCCACAGACGTGTTTTGAAGCATAAATGACTTTGAAACAAATTTTATTCGGTTATTATCACTGGCTTTAAGAATTCAAAACTGAGCTCCCAGTACCTTAACTCTCTTACTTAGCGCTCTTATCTCTTCACAGATAAACACTAAGCACACCCTGATTCTTCTTATTTTGATTGTCTTAGGTATTAAGTAAGTTGCCGTGATTTTTGACTTGTTTACACTGTTAGCTAATATATGCAAGAACTCTATTTAAATTCTGTAAGAATGTTTAGATTGCTTTTGGGAGGATATGGGGGTAGTACACATTAAATTTAGAATGTTGTTATTCAGAGAAAAAGAACTTAGGTGTTAGTAAACTAAGAGTCATGGGAATCATCCTAGTTTTACCACCAAGTGACTTTATGATTTTGAGTGAGACTCTTAAATTCTGAGCTTTTTTTTTTTTTATAAGTATGATGCCTATCTTTCATATGCCTCACTGTGTTCCTTATCTTACTGGGGGAATCAAATAAGATTACATGTATGAGAGTACCTTAATGTGTATAGAAGTCTTTATAGATCATAGTTTTAAAATGACTGATTTGGCTGTGGTGGCATAAGGTCAAATATTTAGTAATTTGTGAATTTCAAAATTCAAGCATATATTTGATAAAACTGTACCTTAGTGACTGAGTTCTACTTTTTCCTGGTGATGGCAACAGTTTGGTTAAGGAAGAGTACCAGTACTACCATCTCACTTTTATTTATATGATCAGACCAATAGATATGAGAAGGGCGTTAGCAATTTAGTTAATATGCTCACTTTACAGTTTAGTGTCATTTTGTTTGATAACTAACCTACTAATTGTAGGTTCTACCTCTTTGCAAGGACCTCACCTGGTCTTATTAAACTAAAACAGAAGTATCAATGTAAAATGATACTTATATTCATTGCTTTGGACAAGTTTTTATATGATGTTGTAAACTTTAGTGTCTGCTCTGTTCTTATTCTCAGGCAGAGGAGATATGGAACAGAATGATTCTGACAACCGTAGAATAATTCGCTATCCAGACAGTCATCAACTTTTTGTTGGTAACTTGCCACATGATATTGATGAAAATGAACTGAAAGAATTCTTCATGAGTAAGTGGTTTATTTTGCCTCTAAATTAAGTTTTTAAATTAAAAATCTAAAGTTACTTTAAAGGGGGTGGTGTATAGAGTTTTCTCATAGTACAGCCAATGTTTACAAAGTAATGTCTATTACCTTTGTTCATGCTTTGTCTAGCTGCCAGTCTTGCCTTTATTCATGGAAGTAGGTGACTATATTAGCTGTTTTCTACTGTTTGCCTAGTTTTCGTTGACTTGGTTCAATAGACATTAAGAGAAATGGCTGAATAAATTAGACTTAAATTGAGAAAGGACTTATTTGGTCAGAATTAAGAGAAAATAGATTGTCTTTCTAAAACTATGCAGGTAACTTTGCTTGTGAAAGGACTATAAATATATAGAAAAGTAACAAAGCAAACAGCCAAGCCAGGCTCTTGGTACTTAGATGACGATCCACATGTATAATATACACTCGTTCTCACTGGCTATAGCAACTTTTATTTTCATATAGATGAAGGACATTGAGGTTATTCATCTTGAACAATTAAACCCATCTTAGCATTCTGTCAAAATACTTAACTTTTGGTGTAATGTATATTTTCACAGGTTTTGGAAACGTTGTGGAACTTCGCATCAATACCAAGGGTGTTGGGGGAAAACTTCCAAATTTTGGTTTTGTGGTTTTTGATGACTCTGAACCAGTTCAGAGAATCTTAATTGCAAAAGTAAGTGATTTGATGGGCTTAATTCAAGACTTTATTTTTTCTGTTGTGTATAATATTGATTTGGAGCATTCTTTTAAACCATAGACAATTTTTTATCATGGTAAAGCTAACAATAGTACATTATGGAATGGTATTTATGCAAAGAATAAAGTTTTGTTAGTTCTAAAGCCTGAGGAATGGGACATTTTAAATTATTTGCTGTGAAGGAACTTGGAAAGATTGTGTATTAATTTTTATGAATTTTTAAAGAATTATTTAATTTTATTCATCATCATCAATATTATTAATTTGACCAGAGAGGGAGAAAGTGAGAAAGCCAATTGCCAGATCCAGGACTCAAACCGCCATTGGCCATGTTAGAGTCCAGCACCTTAACCACCACACTGCTTGCTGGCCCTCAGTTTTCTTAATTCTTAGGATTTTCTTGCTTATCTATGCAAAGTAATACATTCATTAACCTGTCCTTGTAAATATTTTTCTCCCTTTTTAAAGCCAATTATGTTCCGTGGGGAAGTACGTTTAAATGTGGAAGAGAAAAAAACAAGAGCTGCAAGAGAGCGAGAAACCAGAGGTGGTGGTGATGACCGCAGGGATATTAGGCGCAACGATCGCGGTCCTGGTGGCCCACGGGGAATAGTGGGTGGTGGAATGATGCGTGACCGGGATGGAAGAGGACCCCCCCCAAGAGGTGGCATGGCACAGAAACTTGGCTCTGGAAGAGGAACCGGGCAAATGGAAGGCCGCTTCACAGGACAGCGTCGCTGAAGCCCCACTGTTGGCCAAGTCTTGGCAGTGGTACATTATTCATCGTGTTTGCATTCTTGTTAATTTTTTTTGGCTTTGGAATGTGACACAGCCTTTTTTGATCATTTCTTTGATGTGAAAACATCTTTTGGTTATCAGTTAAATGAGGTGGACATTATCTCCCCAATTTTACAACAAGATTCATACTATTAATTTATAAATCTAGACTTGGAGAATTAAGGACTGAGAAATGACCATATCTTAAACTACAACAAAATGAACTTTAAAGGACACGCCCACTGAATTCAGGTCCTTTGAGTCAAAAAAAATCCTCTGCTGCACATTTTGTTTAAGTGTTACTGTTTCTGCCTATTAATGTTGGAAACACAAATAGTGCAATTTGTGCAATTGGAGAATCTTGCCTTTTTTTCTTGGCTCCCCCCAAAATACAAACCAACAGAAACTTGTTATGCACTCATCAAAATGCACTAATGGGTCCTCTTGAACTCATTCACATTGACACCTGCAACAGGAGGCAACAGGGAAAAAAAATCTTTCATCTTCTTTTCCAGTAGAGAATAGTTTGTGAAATGATGAGGGCATTTTATCTGCTTGCTGTGACCAGCGTGTGTACACATAAACCTTAACAAGACTACAAACAAGTATATTCCAGAAGGAAATAATTTAGTTACGAACTAAATAACAAAAGTCAGAACTTCAAATGCTATGGTCTTAAATAATAGACCACATTTAGTAGCTCCATATCTAAGATGTTTCTACCTGCCCCTCTTCAGTACAGGGATGGCTGGCTGCTCAACACACTCCTCCTCCCCCTTTTCCTTTCTTTAAGCTGTGTACAGTGGAAATTGTCTTTACTGTATTTTTGTTCTCTGGTAATGTAATAAGCATGATGGTGCCTTCTATTAATACATCATTCCAGTCTTGCTGGTAATTTGGTACAGTATAGTGTATGAATTGCTGTGCTGCGAAGCCAAACAGCTACAAATGTTGAAAAATCATTGAAGTGTATAAAAATTGCAGTATCTTTTAAAAATCAGTAAAATGGACAGAATATTATTTATCTTGTTCTTCAGTTAAAGACTTTTGTGTTCTCTGTGGGAGGGAGTCTTGTGTGTTCTAGAGGGAAAGGGAAGGGAGGAAGTCAGTTATTTGAATAAGTCGGTAGTTGACTTTTAGCTTGAATGTGAATATTGAAACGCATCACTTCAGTGCTTAAAAAAGTCAGTCAACTTGATGTACTGTACATTTTTAGTGAAATTTTAAAAGCAGTCAGATTCCATAAACAGCAAGTAAACCTGAAGTGAGGATACTGCAATTTTCAGAAAAAAGAACAGCAGCTCTTAAGTGTTTGCATTTTCTATTTGGGGGGCAGGGAACTGTCATTCATTTTGCACAATTCTTGAACTGATGTCAGCACCCAAGTGGCTCCTGAATTTAAGTCTGGGACGACATCTTTTATTTTTACATGAATCTCTAAACAATTCTGTGAGCAAAGTTTGTAGCTGCTGGATTATTGTCTGTCTTTATAGCAAATTCCAGTAAACCGCAAATATGGCAAAGGTTATCCAATTTTGTGCTTGGAGCAATCAGTACATAATAGTATCTGATGTTTCCAACAAGAAGTGGGGTAAATAAGTGTAACCACTCAAAGCTGCTTGTTAGCATGGAAGACTTCTCCATTCTATCTTAGTCAAAACAAACAAAATATGCACTTGACATAGTAGCAGATTGGTTCTGAGATATGTAACTTTGCATTCAATAAGTTTGGCAAATGATGTGCATATTTTGTTTTTCGTGTACTGGGCAATATGAGTAAAATTAAATGTCTTTTCCCCTTGCTCCTCCCTGAATGAGGTCTTCCATGTCTGAGGGAAAGTCTTGCACTATTAACATGTATTTGGGGGACACAGATTTTCAGTTTCCATTTGGGGTCCTAAAGATTTTTTTGTTTGTTTATTTGAAACAGTTTTATAGTTTCTGATGTATAGTACTTGAAGTTCTTATTGGAAAATTACTTTGGAGTTTTGAAGCCTATATTCAGACTACTTTTAATTAAGTAGTTTTATTGTCAGTGTTCCCCTTCCCCCCAGTGTATTTTTCCTCCATTCTTCTATTTCTTTCTCATTGCTCCTTTATATATATATATCTATATATGTATATATCTATATATATTTACATTTCAGGATAGTACTTGAAGTTCTTATTGGAAAATTACTTTGGAGTTTTGAAGCCTATATTCAGACTACTTTTAATTAAGTAGTTTTATTGTCAGTGTTCCCCTTCCCCCCAGTGTATTTTTCCTCCATTCTTCTATTTCTTTCTCATTGCTCCTTTATATATATATATCTATATATGTATATATCTATATATATTTACATTTCAGGATATTGCCCTGCCTTTCTCCTTTATATATATATCTATATATCTATATATCTATATATATTTACATTTCAGGATATTGCCCTGCTACCCATGAAAACTGTTCTGGCACCGAAAGTAATGACAAATGTTACGTATAATAGAACAGTAGAGCAAAGAGCCATTCAGCTTCAGTCTTTACATACCATGAATTAAAACATCATATGGAGAAGTTTACATGGTGATTTGTTCACCTGCAGTACTGTGGACTTTAACATTTTGTCCCCTTTTCAGTGAAACGAAGTAAAAATATTCATCTACCATTACTGTTATTTGCTGGTTTTGTTTTCTGTTTTGATGGTAATACTCTATCCTTATGACACAGTTGCAACCAAATTGGCTTTACCATCTTGGCTTTAGTAGGTATAGAAGACAATGGATTACCATCTTTATTGCTGTAATGTGTTAAGCATTATATGCTAGTAGAATCTAGTTTAATTGTTTCAGGTGGAAAGTATTCTTTGAGTTTCCATTTTGAATGTGTTTGGACTAAACAATAAACTACTGATGTCTGCAGCATTCATCTATGTTCCTAATTTAATCTGTAGCTCTTGCTTTTCATATAACCCTAGTAAAAATAGTAAACAGGGTCTGTAGGTGGTGTGCTGGTTAAGGCACTGAACTCTCATATGGGTGACTGCGGTTCAAGTCCTGGACTTGATAGCTTGAAACTCCTGTGTGCATGCCTGCCCAAGATCCCAAAAGAATGGAGGAGAAGGGATTGTGGGCTGGCCATCTCCTTGTGGGGAGATTTCTCACTTTCTATCTGTATTTCTGACAAGTGCACACACCGTATAGCAAAAACCTTTCTCTAGTTAAAAAAAATAAATAAACAGTTCTAGAAACCAACTGTTTGTGAAAATTTATGTTTAAAAATGTAGAATATTGTTAGGTATTTAAAAATGTAGAACATTGTTAGGGATTTGTACCAGTCTAGTTAGACAGCTGGTATGCAGAGTTAATGTTAGCACAGAATAAATAGAAAGGTGGGAAATGATCAAAAGCGGACTTAAAACTTTTTTTTTTTTTTTGTTATAGGGCTCTCCAGAAAGAGAGAGACAAAGCAAGAAATCACCCCTTGGAGGGTGATGGCCATGCCACCAGTCCCTTCTCCATCTCTTCTTGGGATTTTGGACATGCACACACACGCACCCAATGTGACTTTTAAACTGCCAGGTCTGGGATTTGAACCATAATCAACTATGATGGAGTCCAGCAATGTAATGATTACACCAACTGCTGGTCTCAAAATCTTGGGTTTTCTAAGGATTGTTACCTTACAACTCAGAAGAAAAGGAGAAAGGAATGAGTAAGATGATCAAACTTACTTGAAGATACAAGTATGATCCAAGTTCAGAAATTAGAACAAGTTTATTTACCAAATCCTTCAAGAATATTAAGGGAGAAATAATCATTTAGTCATAGTGAAAAATGAAGTCTCAATTCATAGTAGTAGTATACTTTTTCCTTATAGGGGATAATATAGATTAATTTTTCTTAATGCACTGTTTAAAATTCCTAAATCCATCTTTACGAACTTGTACTGGATCGAAAACAAAATGACCATTATTTAAATAGTCTTTCAGAAGTGGGCCAGCAGGTGGCATGGTGGTTAAGGTGCTGGAATTCCCACCTGGCTCCCCATGGTTTGAGTCCCACACCTGGCAGCTTGCTTTCTCATTCCCCCTTTCTCTCTCACTTTCTCTGGCAAAACTCATGTGAAAAATAATATTAACAACAATAGTAATAATAAATCTTTAAAAAGTAGTCTTAACAGAAGTCTTAACATTTTTGTAAATATATATTTGACTCACTTTTAATGATAACTTTTCTATCTTTATTAAACCTGGAAAGACATATTTTAGAAGGGATAAAAAGCATATCCCACACTATTGGAAACACAATTTAAAGGAGCAAATTATTTGGTTCAGTAAATTTTTTTAAAGAATTTTTAAATTTTATTTATTTACTTATTTTGACCCTGGGGGGAGGGATGAGAGAGAGAGAGAGAGAGAGAAAGCAAATCTCCAGGTCTGGGACTCAAACCATGGTTGGCCTTGTGAGAGTCCAGAGCCCCTAACCGCCACACCACTTGCCAGCCCCTGGTTCAGGAAATTTATATGGAACAAAATATTTGATAATTTTAGCTACTCAAGATGCTTCACTTCAGTTATGCTGTATAATAGAATCTTTGCAGGTGAATGAAAAAGTCATACTAATTGATGTTCATATTTTTCTTTTCAATTAAGTCAATATGTCTTACAGATCAATAAGGAAAGACCCCTGGTTTTTAAAATGTTCTTTGTTCTTAAGATTTTCTAATTATTAGCAGACTTTATCAATTTGATGCCATAATTTTTAAAAAGAATAATTTTATTATTTAATTTTATCAGAGAGAGAGAGAGAAAGGAAAAGTGACAAAGCAAGTCACCAGGTCTGGGACTTGAATTGCAGGCAGCCATGTGGGAGTCCAGCACCTTCACTACCCACCCACTGGCCCCTTGATGCCATATTTCTAAGCTGTGTAAAATTATTGGATATGCAAACAATCAAAGTTTGGGACAAAATTTTCCTTTAGTGATTTTTAGTAAGATCACAAAGTAATTATCTAAAGTTATGTTAAAAAACTCCTAAATAATGAAATTACTGTATTTTTTGTTTGTTTTTTTGAGAGGTTTTCACTATAGGGCGAGTGCGCTCGCCAGACAGAGAGAGACATAGAGACAGAAAGTGAGAAATCACCCCCCAGGGGGGATGGTCACACCGCAATCCCTTCTCCATTCTCCTCTCGGGATCTTGGGCATGCACGCACATGCGCCTGGCCTGAGTTTTAAGCCACCGGGTCCGGGACGCGAACCGCGGTCGACTACGTGGGAGTTCAGCGACATAGCCATTACGCTAACTGCTGGTCCCAACATTAACGTTCTTTGAACTACTCCTGTTTATTGTTCCTTCATCCCCTTGTCTCTAGACTATTCTTTTCCCCATGAACTTCAGGTCATGTACCACCTTTGCTTCAATTTTATTGTTACTCAGTATTTTATTTATCTTTAAAAATTTCTTCCACAAGAGAGATGAGAGGTGAGCACCAATAGAACCTGCACCTGGCAGTATACCCCCAGTCTTAACCAGCATGGATTTGTGCGCACATGCTTAAGTGACTTAGCTATGTGAACCTGGCTAAGAATGAACATTTTGAAGGTCTATTTCATTAGCCTAGGAATTGTGTGTGTGTGTTTTCCTAAGGGTACTCACGCTAGCTGAAGAGATGGAGGGAAAGTGGGAAAGCTCCACTCCTCAGGGGTGATGGCCACACCACAATCCCTTCCCCTCCATTCTCTTGGTATTTTAGGCATGTAGACATGCACCCAATGTGTCTTTCAAGTCACTGGGTTCAATATGTAAACCACACAATTGGCCATGTGGGATCCAGCCAGACCTTAATCACCTTGCCACTGGCTGGCCCCGCCTAGAAATGTTTGAAGTCTCATTTGTTTGACTCAATATTTTCACTCTTTAACTCATTATAAATTTTCCAGACTGCAAGATTTATTATTCTCATGAACTTTGGGCCATTCAATTCATTATTTATTGAGCTTCCAAGTGCCAGACACTGAAGTGATGACTTAAACAAGTTTTTCATTTGCTAAGCAGGTTAATAAAACTTGGAGAGTAAGTGGGTACATACATACTAGAAAGTAGCTAGGGTGCAGACAACAAAGTGTTGCTCTGAAGGATGGGAGGGATTGGTCAAGAGGAATGGAAAAGTTGTTGAAGAGTTGGTAAGTGACAAGATTTTTATTTTGAACTATCTGTGGGTACAGAGTAAAATGGAAAGAATTCCATAATGGACTGGAGTCAATTAAGGAAAAGAATGTTGCAGTATGAGTCTAGAGTCAGTAGTTTAGACTACAGTGGTAGTACCAGGACAGATTTCAAAAACCCGACGTTAGGATGGTCTTTAGAGAAAGGTGATAATAAATATCCAAAGTCTCACAAAACAGCAATGACAAGTTAGGTGAGTGACAGGACAAGAGAAAAAAAGGTTTTAAAGTGGGGGGACAGGTGTGCTGGGTGAATAGGATTTAGGTGTGAGCAGGACTTGAAAAGATGAAGCTAGCTAAGAGTGGTGGTGGTTTTTTGTAGAGGATTTTGCCTTAGGGCATATATGCTTATGGGGGTGAAGAGGGAGAGAGTAAGAAGGAAAATGAGAAATCACCCCCCAGGTGGAGTGGCCACACTGCAATCCGTTTTCTTGGGATCTTGGACATGCATGCACACCTGCCTGGTTTAAGTTTCAAGCCATCAGGTTCATCCGCAGTTGACCAT